AGTGCAAACAGAGCTACAAATCTAAACACTCTTGCATTCTCGAACAAAATCCCGACGACACTCGTCTAATCAAATCGAAAAAGTCATGCATCTCCATACATGCATTCACTGTGGAAGGTGCGAAAATGAGACATGCACAGGAAAAGATGGATTGCATTGCACCATACACACGCATCCACCGTTCACAAGACAAATAGACGGGGTCCTTGCGTAGGAGGATTACCAAGGAAACTAATGGAAGAGTTCCAGAAGTTCTTTCACACAGAAGCAGGATGCCAACTCATTCTTATTCAAGAGAGGGACAATCATTCAAACGCATCATCATTCAAAAAGAGAGAGAGAGAGAGAGAGTCGAGGGAAAGAAAGTCCAAAATAGAAGATGACAAGATCCAGGAGGAGAAAAGTTCGGCGTCACCGCCGTACACTCACGCCCAAGATAACAATCGGCAACAAAGGCGCATTCGCCGTTAATTCCAATATGGCCCCGGGCCAATCAACTCAATATCGATCCTCATACCCGCACCGACGATCCCGGTCGTCGCGTGCTAACTCCCACCACTGCGATCGTCACCCCGCTGTCGTAAACTCGACACGGTTCACCCAGATCCCACAGTCCGTCGTGGCGATCCAGCGCGCAACCGGCCAGTCTATCGTCAGCCCGACAGAACTTTTCGATTCGCTTCAAACACTCTGCCTAGCCACTGCTTCCCGGAAGCTGGCTTGAGAGTCGAGAACGTAAGAGAGATTTGCGGACGCGCTTGCAGGTTTTATAGTTGCGACAGGGGAGATAGAAGGGGGAAAAGGCGACAGGAAAGCTGAGGTGTAAGAGGAGAAGGAGGAGAAAACTTTGAGAAGAGTGCTCTACGAACGCCATGCTGATCCCTCAGAACTCAAGGTTCAACCAATCAGATTCGTCGCGCGGTAGGAAGATCCTATCGATCGACGCACCTGATTGGCAAGCGGGAGTTATCGGGGGATCGACCGGGCGTCGTACGCCAAACTTAGAGGGTGAGAAGAGAAAAGGCGCGAGAGGTGGCGCAAGACGGGTCCAAGATTCAGATGATCAAGAAAGGGAAATGGGTGCGCGAAAGCAAGGCGGAAGAGAGAGAGAGGGAGAAGGAAAAACAGTTACGGGGAGAGAGAAAAAGGAGGGCGAAGGGAAGGGAGGCGCGGGAGGGAGCGATACGGGGGACAGAGGGGAGGAAGCTTTTGCATGCACGGCGTCGTCAACAAAAAAAAGGAAAAAGGCATCGAAACAGTTACAGCTTGCTTCTATCCTAATTCAAAATTGAAATCACCATATCCGCGCATGAAAAAGCGACGTGGAAAAATAAAATCGTACGCCTATTCGTATTCACGCAAAATTCCGAGAGTTTTCCCCGATGCGCCCAAAAACCTTCACACACCCAAAAAGGACACGTCGAAGTTCCGCTTATCCCGGAATTCCCAACTACCGAGCCCAATTCCTAGTGCGCTCGCTAAGGCGCACGTAAATTCCCATGTATTTCTCGACTTTGCAAAAATAAAAACAGAACTTCAGCAGTCGAAAAAACTCTCAAAAAGGAAAATGCGGCACCCGAAATCAAGAAATCAAAACGGGGTTTTCTGGGGTTGGTATGATACAGGCAAAAAGAAAGGGTACGAAGGATGGCACGGGGTCGTGAAGTGGTTTGTCACATATGTGACGCGCAGGGGGTTCCAAAATTATGCGATCTCCTGATTGCATGTCATGGTGAAAAAAAAGAGGGGAGAACAGAGTGATGCATGAGGAACCAAACGTATCAACAGAGCAGGAAGAAGTACAAGGAACGATAACTGGATGGCGGATGAGATGGCGACAACATTTGTGGCAAGATCTTCGTAGCCCTATCATATGGAACCCTCTACCTCGTGGAGATCGTCCAGGTGACGCCATCATGGTCCACCTGATCTCCGTGTGCTCTGTACCCTTGCTCGTTGTTGTCTGTCGAATCAGCGCGCCGGTTGAGGTCATCGTTGATGGCGTGATCTTCACGAAGCTTACCGATTCGTGCCGATGAAGGGAGGAGATTAAAAAAAAGGGGGGGGGTTCAAGTGAATGGGATCTACCACCTAGTTGGAATAGGCCAGTAGAGGCGGTACATGCCGGGGATCTCACGCGGATGACGGGGGGTGGGTGGGGGTAGGAAGCGATTCATCCCTTCCATCGTCACTGGGAGCTCCTCATATCGGATGATCCGGTGGAAGCGGGGGAAATGATCGCCACAGCGGGGGAGGGAAGCGAGGTAATCGCGATAGAAGGAGGAGAGGGTGCGAAAAAACGCCGCTCGAAAGATCTCGAAGTGGCGACAGGCGGGGATTGTCCCCGTGGCAACGCAGTAGGCTTCTACGACATTGGATCGCTCCCATGCAGCGCTGAACAGCAGGAGATGCCAACAGAATGTGGGAGCGGCGGACTGAAGGGAGGCGTGAGGATGGGCGGTGGTGAGTAGACGGGTAGAATAGAAGTCACGGAAGAGATGGGGATGGAAAGGATGGGAAGGGAAGGTGACGGGGGTATGGATCTGCTCGAGGGTGAGAAAATCAAGGGGTCAGCGGGGCAGCGTCCGAGGTCGAAGGCCTATCGCCCGCATTGGTACGTGGGCGAACTGGGGGACGGGTGGGGCTGGACGAGGAGGGGGATCGGCGCCGTCTTCGTCACACGGTACTTGAGGGGGCGGCTGGAGGGTCGCCATCTTCGGGCCTCGGCGACTCTGGATCCCTGGTCGGACCGCTACCGATGTGCAGGCTAGCCTCGCTAGCGAACTCCTGTTGGCGCTTTCCGGAGGCAATCTCTTCACGCCTTCGCGCCGCTTCCGGATCTTCCGCCTCCGTTCCCGTACGCGTCGCTTCCTCCGGCGGGGCTTCCCACTCGGATCCGGTTCCTTCTTCTTCCTTTTCCTCCTCACTCAGCTCGCCCTCGCTACGTTCACTATAGCTTCCCTCCTCCGATGTTTCCTCGTCGTTGTCTTCTTCTTCTTCTTCGTCGTCGATCACCACTTCCTCTGCCCTCGGATAGAAGGCGTAAGGGATCTCGTACGGCTTCAGATACTCCTGCCGCGATGGTAGGGTATCCTCGTCCCTAGGTTCGTCCAAGCACGAAGTCCACTGAAGGTACGGATCCAAGGATCGCTCGAAAATGTACGGAGCAGGACTGTTGTCGCTCTGAAAGTAGATGTCGGGCGAGAGATCGTCCGCCAATTGCACGATCGGTGCGATGAGCTCCTGTGCAATCAACTGACGGCGACCCAGTCGTACCAATCCAAAGAGGAATCCAATAAGATCTCCTTCCGCGTTAGTCCTCCTACCCTGTATGATCAGTAGCTCTGGATTCTCGATCCACGTGGGGTGCTCGATAATGCCCGTCCACTTCACTTGTACTCTGGCCAAGCAAAAGGACAGCTCCTCAAAAGTTTCTCGCCACAATCGCCAATGTCCAGGATGGATAAGAGGGACTGAAAGAGGCTCGAACGAGAAGGAAAGAGAAGGGTGAAGATCGGATTGCCAGAAGGTGGGGAAGAGAGAGGGGAGACCAAAGGTAGAGAGAGGAGCGAGACGAGCAGCGTGGTTCATTGGGGACGGGGGAAGGGGACGATGGTCGGGATCGCAACTGGCCGCTCGCGCGGTGATCGGCGAATACCGTCAAGAT